TAAATTTTATATCTGTATGTTATTTGGTCGGAGCCCTTGTGGCAGATTTTTGTCCTGAACATAGCCATATCTTTCCAACCTACCTAATTTATATCCATTGCACATTAGATGCATGTCATGATATCAATAAATGATCGATCCAATTCAGAATCTATGATGCTTTTAAATTCATTTGAAAATTTTGCGATAGACAAAAACAATGTTACAGTTTAAGAAAAATAACTCAGTTTTATAATTTGACATCAAAATCTGACGCGAAATCAAAAAATTGTTTTGATGAACAAAAGCTTAAATTACATAATGAGAGGTTTTTAGAAATTACAAACATACGAAAAATGCAACTGCATTGCTTGAAGGATGTAGTGCAATTTTTACAAGACAATTTATCTTCGGGAACTCCATACACTAAAAAATTTTACTTCACGCCCCTGTAATCCGACATTTTTAGTCCTTTTCTCACTCTCTTGCTCTTTTCCTCAATCCCTTGCTCTCTCTCCACTCCACCACTAAACTAAGAAGATTGAAGAGAGAACAAAGAGTGGGGAAAGGATTAAAAATGGCGAATGCGAATACCTATATTATAGTGCTCTAGAACATGGACAAAATGATACATTATGCGCATCGTATGTAAAATGGAACGTCCTCGTATATCATATACGTACATCAAAACATTATAGAAACGCGCCGTAAAAATCGGTCTTTGAAGGAGGTGTGCATACACGATTTTGCTGTAATTTTTCGCCAGTTTTTACCAATCTTCCATTGGGAAGCTAATGTTCGATCATATTGGCAACGTCAATTAATACCGATCGATCCATGAATGATTCAAGGAGATTATAAATGATATCCTAAAAAAAATATTTTACATGCAAATTTATGATTTAGTATAGTGATGATTAATATATTATAGATGATATTAGTGTGTAGTATTGATTTGACAAAATTACAAATTCTCCTCCTGTGTTTTTGTTTTTAGAAAAGCAAATATGTACAATCGTAATCAGTATTAATCGGCGTTGCTCTCGGCCCCAATACTTATAATACTAACAAATCTCTCGCTCCCTTTCATTCTCTCTTTCTCTCTCACTATTTTACTGTGCCACTTTTACACAGCACTATGTACAAAAGAATATACTACTTACAGATTATCAACGGTGATTTACCGTAAAATTCCTGAACCATCGCAACTCAAAATGGCGTATGCACACGCAGATATATGTATAATTTGACAAGAAAAAAAAATAAAGATATCGAAAGTAAATGCCGATCGTAAGAAAACTAAAAATTATGCCGTTTGTTGGTGCTACACCAAATGCATTTGCTTAACTAAATTACTCCTTAGGAATCAATCTACAGTTACGATTAGCTAATTCCGATCAACGTATCCCTTATTCTTCCGCTTTCCGGGACATCATGCAAAGAAAATACGATGAATCAGAATTAGGGCTGAATTGAATTTTAAATAAATTTCGAAGTTCAAGTCTAAACGAATCTAGAAACGCGACGAAATCAAACTCGAAGGGATCTCCGCGTTTCTAAATTTATTCGACGGACCAAAGGGATATGTCACGATCCGTGAAATGCAACACCCGACGACTGGATCGGAAGTTCCCTACGGCTTTCTCGATCGAGCCGTCCCGCCGCCTGACGCGCTTCGCGTATGTTCTATTGTATATTCGCGATGTTACTCTTTTTCATTTAGTATAAAAAGTCTCATCCGGTGACACGTCAATTGGTACGTAGGCAAAATCCGAAATTCGATACACATTCGACCTATACCTTAGACTCGACATGCGTACTTTAATGAAGAATCCTTAACGATTAATCCTTACACGCGTATTAATATGTGATGCTTATGAGTTTATGAGCTACCTATACTAAAGGAAAAAACATACACCACTGAAAGATTATATTTTCTTATATCCGCGATCACGCGTTATTAGCTACTCGGATCGCCGCGCAAAGCTACTTTTTTTTGTTTTTTTTTGTTTTTTTTTTTAATCTTTTTGCACTGTGCATACGCTTAGTGGAGATGTAATGTTTCGCGGTAAATGGGAGCAAAATTTGAACGATATGCGTCGCTCTATACGTGATAATAAAAATCGCTACACGACTCTGCCTCGTTCACGATTTCCTCATCTCTCTCTTCCCTAAATTCATGTAATCTCTCTCTTACGCGCACTCATCTCAGACATCATTACACCACCACCCCATATACAAATAGTGAAGCACATTAAAAACGTAGCGATAAGCTAAGTATTATGTAAGTATTGGAAAACTTCCACTAATTCTATGCAAAGTATAGCTTGTAGAATATCATTCATTAAAACTAGAACTTACATGATAATCGAGAAGAGAGAGAAGAATTCTACCTCGCCTGTATCTCGCGGGGCAAAATTCCTCTCTCTATTCTCTTTCTTTTTATCCTCTTTTCTGTTGAAGCGCCGTTCCGTTCTCCACGCTCGAATACTCCTATCTTTTCCAGGATTCGTGCGCGTGACTCGGAAAAGCTAATTCAATCAACACATGGCGCCACCGTCCCCATCGCGTACAGCGGTCGTGATTTAGGTACTTCATACATAGCGTGTATCCTTGTATATCATCCCATCCTTGCAGATTCACGCTATAGAATACATTACATCGTAAAATTACAGTTGAGCTCAACTCACTATGCCCTGCCGTGTCGTTCGTATGACGGAAACAAGCCAAAATCATCCTGCTTTTCCACGCTTACAGTAAAATGCATCCTTTAAAACGTTACGTATGCGTGCCAACGTTGATACATGGGCGAGAACGTTGGCCGCATACAGTGTTTGCGTAAATTTGCCAAAGTATCGTCTGCCCGCTCGGACGATCGCGTCTCTGACTCAGATTGGCTAAAATTTATTTCAAACTGGATCATAAATTGAAATAAGTTTTACCATATCCTTTACAAGTAAGTGCGAGTAAGGTAATCTGACAAACTTCGCGTACACGCGAAATATCTGCGAAACGCTCGACACAACGATAAATAATCGGTGACTCGCATCAACTCGTCTCTCTCGGGGTCAACAAATAATTTCTACGTTAAAGAATGGATAAATAGAGACGAGTATCTTACAAACTATCTTACAAACTTTATCCAGCGTCCACGAATCATAATAATGTAAGTGCGACCACATTTGTTCCCAAGTTCCGCAGTGTAGTATCTAAAAAAAAATCTAAAATAAAGATCTGACGGTGTTACTTGTTGAATCGCGGTGGTCTTCTCAACCGTGTTATCAGCTCCGTCCTGACAGTCCTGGCGTAATTCGGCGTAGCGTACTGATCGGTCACCGCAATTGTACTCTGAAGACTCTGGATGAATATGGATGAGTCCTGTATCTGACCTACACTCGCTGCTGCTGCTGCCGCCGCCTGATACTGGTACTGACTGCTGGTTATGTCAGCGGTTGGGTAATGACTCGGTTGCACGAATTGCGGCGGATTCTCGTACTGCGGATATGGGATGGAACTCTCCGCGGAGAACTGCGGGATTACCGGATTGACGTTGACCGGCGTGGTGGGGTAACTTCCCGGGTCGTAAGTCTGATATTGGTTCAGCTGGCCAATCTGCGTGGTGTTAAACGGCGGCGATTGCGGAAACTGCGCAGTGGTATCGGAGAACAGCACGTTTGCAACTGTTGGTTGCGGAAAGGGTTCCGGTCTCGGGTACGGTGGGATATTAGCCGTCACCGCACTACTTAGATTCTGCACGCTTGGTATGCCGGGAGCAATCGGCGAGGTGCCATATCCGTGGAACGTAGTCTGCGAACGACTTGTGTGATCGCTTAGGTCTTTTATACCACCGCCCTGTAACGAGCCAATGATATTAAGCTTGGACTTGCTACCACCGCCAGTGACGCCACCACCACTGATGCCGCCGCCGATCGTTTCGTTACCGTGCTTGATACGTGCGTCTGTTAATAACGGGTGTCGCACGTTAACGATGCTCTGCGGAGCGCGCAGTGGCGGAAAGTTGATCGGTGCCATTTTCGGCATCGAGCTCTGCTGTTGTTCCAATGCTTTACGTGCAATCGCAAACGCGCTGTTGTCGTTCCTCTGGCAGGAACCAGACTGTGGACTATATGTGCTGGACGGCGTGTAGGTCTCTCTGTGTATAACCGGCGTCGCTGTCGACGATTGTTGCATAGCGAATCTCAACGGCAGATTGGTCGTCATTGATCCAGCGATACTGGTGTTCTTGTAATCCGGACTGTTCACAGACATCGATTCCTTGTAATCCGATTGAATGGGATAATTCTTGACGTTTGAATCAGTTTCATTTGAAAATTTCTTTGGGGCGGTATAATCTCTTGAATTTTTTATCGCGTTTTCATGCACGGTGTTGCTTATACAGGTACTGACAGGCCGTACGCTACTATATGTGGAACTGCTGGATTGTTTTGCGGCGATCGATTTCGTCGTGTTGTGCGATTCGCTCGAAGACTTCGGAGTATCATTATTACCATCATGCTTTTTCATCGAGTTAATTTTGCCAGACGCAATGGTGTGCAAAGCAGCATCTTTGTTGCCCACTGTGGTGTTCGTTATCTTAACAGATAACTTAGATGTTCTATTCTTATTTCCCATATAATTCTGACCGCTTTTTCCTTTGTCAAAAATCTGATTTTTGGCTGATAATACTTTGATGTTTGTATTATTGTTCTGATTATTAGATGCCAGATTATGGGGCTTGCAGGTGATAGTGACTGGCAGGAGCAAAGCGCTGGCTCACTTCTTGGTCATGATTTTCAGATATTCCAGGGCATTTTGAGCAGCACTGGCTTGAGCATCTTTACTAGTCGCGCCGCAACCATAGCAAACTGCTACTGGCAGGGTAGACAGTTGCACAAGGCACTGGAATTTACCTAGAAGATAGAATATCATAATGTTTAGATTATTTCTGTATTGCATTGTTCACAAATAATTTTTATTTTTCAACATGCACAATTTTGATCAACATTTGCATCATAGGTTGCGTTCAGCAGAACATAATAGTTTTGCAACCATTTTATGATTGCCTGCTGAGATAAACCATTCCTTTTGATCTAAAAGCATAACCCAATCAGTGAAGAAAACTTTCAACAGTTGCAAAATAAACGTTCTGTTGAACACAGTCATAATTCATGATAACATATGACACTAAGAGATGATAAACAAGGTCATAGATATCATGTAAAAATTGCTAAACTCATATAAAATTATGCTTAGTAAAGTTAAACACAGATATACCTAGACATGATAGCAGGAGTGATCAATAAGAGTGACAAATAATCTACAATATGGCAGCTTTAACATCAACTAAAAGAGCTTTACGAAAAGAAATTAAGGAAATTCTTAAAAATATTAGTTCAGAAGAAAGAAAGAAGGAATCTGTAAATGTGTTTAAAAAGGTAAGTCTGAGAAAAGTAAATGAATCAATAATCTCCAAGAACCAGAGGCTCTTGACTCATTGAAGAGGTTATGTTCTGAGCATGTGCAATAATTTTTACACAATATATTTGCAATATTATTATTTGCAGTTATGCCAGTTAAAACAATATCAAAATAGCAAGAGAATTTCTTTGTATTTGAGTACTAAAGATGAAATCGACACTTTGCCCATCTTGAAACATATACTTGATATGGGAAAAGAGGCATTTGTACCACAATATCATGGAAAAATTATGGAAATGGTAAAACTAAGGTCGATGGAGGATTATGAAACATTGCCACTAACAAAATGGAACATTAAACAACCAAGCATTACTGAAAATCAAGAAAACGCATTAGAAACAGGTGAATTCTATGATAAACCAAATAATAATAAAAAAATAATACGTTTTATGATAAATTATTTTGCAAAATTCATTGTTTATTAATTTTAACGATATTACTTATTTAACAATAGTAATTCTTTATTATAGGTGGATTAGATTTAGTAATTTTACCAGGTGTTGCTTTCACGGTGAATGGTGAGTTTTACTCAATAAATATTACATCATTTTGTAATCCTGCATGCAACTGTATTGTCTTTATTACTGATTAGGAAAACGTTTGGGACATGGAATGGGTTATTATGATAAATACTTAAAAAGGTGTTTTCAAAAAAACATAAAGCCATATTTGGTTGCGGTAGGATTTAAAAAACAAATACAAGAAGACATTCCTGTTAATGAGAATGATGTGCCTGTTGATATCGTACTTACTGGATAACAAATAATACAATAAAAAAATATGTACTTTTATTTTTTCTGTGCAGTTATTTCTAAAATCTTATAAATCTATTTGTAAAGTAATTTATATACAAATAAAGTCGTTTTCATATTGTACCATTGATAAACTTACCACTGATAGATTTCTCTTCAATATCAACATAGGTTACTTCAAACTGCTGCTCTGACGCAATTTCTTGTAAAAATTGTACCAAATTTACATCCCCATCGTTGAAACAAGTATTCTGCAATAAAATAAGAATAACTTACACGCAATCGATTGCAGTCTAAGTCGATATCGTAGGGACAAACGAATAATTTCTTTCTGGCTTGATAATAAACAAGAGGACAACAATCACAATATACATTCTTCTATTCTTCATCTATTCTTCATTTGAATACAAACCTGTAGTTGGAAAAGCTTAACACCTGTGGACGACTTGAGACTCTTGTGAAATTTCGAAACTTGGATACTATGTATTGTTGTCAGTGTTGAAATTTTGCTACCTTTCAGATCGGCATAACGGGCGTTCACATTTGCGTTTCTTTGCACAATCTATAATGGACAATTAATATACATGTAAAATTTCTTGTAAGCACCTACGTTATAAAAGCTTTAACAGCTACTTCACATTTATATAAAAACTTACATGAAGTGGATATGATCCAAGCGCAATTACTCTCAAAAGATAAAATACACAAAGCTATACAAAACTTACATTGAAATGCGATATTGTCCAAACAATGGTCCGTTATAGATTTAAACAGATCGGAAAGATAGCTTTTATTACATAAGGCTTGTTCTTTGTCACTGGACTGGCTTGCATTAAAACTTTCAACATGGGAACCTCATAATAGCGAACCACAAAGTAGCGCGAAAAATCCCTTCTGCGATAAGAATAGCTTGAGTGGGGAGTAGCAATAACCACTAAAACTTCATTATTTTGAAGTAGGGGCAACCTCGTTATAGCGTTCACACTCTCAAACCGCACGCTATTACGAGGTTTCAGTGTATTTCATTTTTATTAAATTTTAAATATGTATCTATATTTCATTTTAAATACGAGTATATTCAGCTACAAAGAACAGACCTATAAAGTGGCATTAAAGCCAAAATCACTTCCACTTCTATAAATACACACACTCGTATGCATACATATGCCCATATGCACATACTCATACATACATATTCAATTTAAAATAAATCTGATCATTCACACTTCGTAACTCTTGTGATCATGTCTGGCAGGCATTGCAGAAGTTTTATCCTTCTAATTATATCCTAGCTGTTTTCTTTTCTTTTTTAAAAATTTATTTAGTATTTTTCTGGATTTTAAAGGGCAATAAAAGATGTTTTTAGATGTTTTTAGATTTTGAATAACTTTATTCAATGGAGTCAAGATAGAATGCAAGAGAGGTTGAAATATTCAAATGTTAAAATAGTGATAAATAGGGGCTAACAATAGATAGTGATGAATAGGGACTAATAGATTATTATCTATTTTTGCAACGATATATAAGAATAGATAATTTTCATTATCTGACACAATTAACAAGATGAGAGATTAACATTCTTACCTCATCCTCATCTACGCTGGGAGCTTGGTTATTCATTTCGTGTAAAGCTTGCCACATTTTATGAGCGGCATGCCTCTTTGCGACTTTTTTACTTTTACCTTGACCAACTTCGCGATATTTTAGGATTGAACAAACAATAGTAAATTGTCGCTCATGAGGTAAACCCTCTTCACCCTCCATCGAGTATTTTGGAGGTGGCCAGTGGCGCGACATACACATTTCTTGTAAGGCTCCAATTGGGTTGTTTACTATTTTCTCCTCTCCATATGTCTGCAGTTCTTGTAAATTTTGTGAGCTACGTAAAAATATACATAAAATTATTTTATCCTCCATGTACTCTTGCTTACAATTTTAATTCTCCTGTAATCATATTTTTATTTTTTCCATCTGGGTATTTCAACTCAAATTTTAAAATCTCTCTCTCTCTCTTTACCGAAAATCTTTACTTAAAACAAAACTTGAAATTTAAATGAGAAAAAAAATGTTTAAAAATATACAACTCAGCAATAAGGGAACTAGATTTTGCTCTCCTTTATTTCACAGGAGAGTGAAATTTCGCCAATCCCAAAAAAAAGATTAAGATTGCAGGAAGGATAAGTATGATGTTAAGTGCAATTCATGCTTACTCGGGTAAACTATTTGGAATTGGCGATTCTACACCATCGGTGTTCACTCCAATTAATTTATCCAACACAGCTTTTGCAGCAGCGTGTTTAGCTTCTTTCTTGGACCTGCCGGTCCCCATTGCTGAAACAATTGGGTCTGTTTCTGAATAGTTATGTACTTATCAATCAACAATACATTGTTATGCATGACAATACATGCACAATGAATTTATACAAACCAACGACGTCGGTAACAGTGACTCTGTATCGAAACGTAGGCTCGTGAATAGCTCCCTCGATTTGGACGAGTTCATACTTAGGTATTGTGCCTCTACGGGAAAGCAATTCCTGAAGAACAGAGACAGGTGTTTTGCTGGGTAACGACTTCATTTCCAAACGTGCCGCCTCGTGTAATGGAAGTTTCTCTAACATCATGGCATGTAATGTTACACGAACTCTATTACGACGATTGACATTATTAGAATGATTAGGAACGCCACCCACACCAGGCATCATGTTAGTAGGCCCAACCTGCGGTGGTTGATGCATTTCCTCCATTGTTGTGTTCTGAAAATCACATGTTATGAAGCCGTAACCTTCCCCCAAAGTCAGAGTAACTGATGATACACAAGGCTCAAGTCACAATGTAAAAAATAGAACTTAACAACATTCCCCCTCTCATCACTCTATTTACCTAGCAAATATAGTATGCCTTCCAACAAGCGAGACAGTGCGACACAGTGATCGTGTCATCTTCATTGGCAAATAACAAGGATGTAATGATCTATTGCGTCACACCGTGTTATTTGTATCGCTTGTTGGAAGACACACATAATATCTGTTTCTACCAACGTGGATTAATTTGAATCTTGTTTTAACTGACTTTATATTTTTCTGTAATTCTTAGAATTAGAGAGAAAGAGATGAAGAGTCATTGGTAGAAACAGGCAACACAAAAATAACATTTAGGAGTTTTAAAACAAAACATATTTATCTCGTATCCTTACATCTGTATTCATCTTAGCGAACAACGACGATGCATGTAGGAGTCAATTAGTGTCCTCGTGCGCCCTTTACGACCTCGTCCTCTTCTATCTCGCTATAAATATCGAAATCGCGATGATTATTCCAGATTTACTCTGGATTTCCGGTCGCCACGATGCGGCAATTAATGCATCGTCATTAATCCGCGGTCGGTTGTCCCGGCGAATGAGAGAGTCGGCATGCGGCGTGCGCGTGTAAAACGTGTTGGAATCGCGTCTTCTCGACGCGGTCAACGATATTTCGAGACCGCGAGGGAGACCGGCATGGCCGCCATGATTGTTATAAAACTCATCGATTGACCGTAACGGAAATACGCGTGGGACACGCCGGGGACGGGGTGTCGTCGCGCGTGGTACGTACGTAGAACGTGAACGCGGCGTTGTCTCGCGGCTCTCGGCGACGTTGACGACGGCAGGATTTTCAGAAAAACAGCCGCCGCCGACGCCGACCGGTTGCCACGCGTATATACGCGTACATATACAGATACATATATACGTTATCGTCCGCTACGCGGCGGCGGTTCGATCTCGGCGGGCCCAAAGTCACCGGGGGGACAAACACGCGTCCTTCGCACTTACGATTTTCGGGGAGACGTAGCTTCGTGGAAAAAGTGATGTGCCGGCTCCTCGTCAGGCCAATTCCTATGCGAAAAGCGAATCCCGCTTTTTGTGATCGATCCAAGTCTCACAAAAAGCTTGATCCGTTTGACGACAGAAAAATGGTTCACTGGTTAGCGGAGAATCCCTTCCTCGTTCGCAGCTCTACGATATCTGTGGGGGTGCCCATCCATCATACCCAATGCCCATGACCGTTCGTGTATGCGGTGCATGCGCCACCGTGATGTTTCTGAAACTCGTGCGCATCTTTCGTCTGCGCAGGCGTATACCTGCGTTACCGTCGCTCGATAATGCAGTCGCCCGACTCGGTCGGTAAAGAGGGGAGCACAGACTCTTGAATAAAGCCTTGTGTCCACGATGCTAGAAATCGGTCCGAGATCTTGGACAGAGAAAAAATTAACAAATCACATTTGAACAATTTGATCACATGACCATTGCGATTGGTCAATTCTTTCTTCATCCGAGGTCTTGACCGATTTCTAGCATCGTGGACACAAGGCTTAACGCATGACACACGAGGCGTAAGAAGATGAACCAATCAAATGCTGGATTTACCCTGCATCCGATTTGCGTCGTGCGACGCTCTGTAACCAATCAGAAAACAGGATTCCGATGTTACGAAGCAAAATCCATTGGAATCCTGTTTTCTGATTGGTTGCAGAGCGTCGTACGACGTAAATCGGATGCAGGGTGAATCCAGCAAAAGTTTCCCTTATTTCCTTATTTTGTATGGAGCTGTAGGCTAGTCTTAAGATCGCCCTGAAATAAAAATTGCAACTATTAAAAAAATATATAATTCGCTATGTGATTCTCATATATTTAGATGTATAAAAATAAATAAAATCTGCCAATTAAGTGACTCAGCGGGAACTTCAAGAGAAAACAACCGGGTGCACTTCCAACAGATATAGTTCCTTTGTGATAAGGATTTTGGAAAATAAAGTATGCTTTAAAAATTATTTTTATATACTACATATTGAATTTAAAAAATTTAAAATATGGACACAAGATTTTAATCATAAATAATGTTGTTAAAAATTAATAAAAATGCTTGTAAAAGAAGTGCGAAGGAAACGCTCTGCGATTGGCTGAGACCATACATGACGTCAGAATTCGATACTTTCAAATATTTTACGAGATCACCGGTTAATTTTCTTTAAATA